CCTCCTCTGGTTAGCCCTTGGGGGGACTGGGTGATCAGATAAACTTCATCTTATAAGGGATTCCCACCAGCCAGATCCCCAGGGGTTTTGTTACACATATAATTTCAGCCAACAGCGTGGGGTTGGTGGGGGCGGGGGGAGGCCAGGAACAAAGGTGCCTTTGCCTTCCAGTGTGACCCCGCCGAGCCCCATTCCATCCTGGAATCAAGACAGCTGCGCAACTCGGCTGTGGTCAGGTGGAGCTTTCTGGACAGAGGTGCAGGGGGAGTGGAGGAGGGTGGCTGGGTGCATGGGGTGTGCAGTCAAAGGCAGATCCAGACCTAGGTCCTCACCCCGGACGGACGGGCGTGTTGGCTTTCCACACAGATATGACAGCGTCCTGACACAAGAGCAAACAGTACTGCCGGGAGCTGAACCGCTTGCTGGGGGCATGGCAAACGTGCTTTCTAATCCCCACGGCACCCCGTGGTCCGTCTGTGGAAACTGAGGCTCAGGGAGGTGGGTATTAGTGGTAAGGTGAATCCACGTCTGTTCGGTGTGCTGTCCTCAGGTTATTATAATAATGGACGAGGTCAAAGGAGTGAAGGATCACGACCCTGGTAAAAGAGCCCAGGGAGTCCTAGGTCACACTTTGCTCTCCAGACATCAGCTCACTCATCCAGGCAGTGAGATCCGGGGCTCCGAGCTTCCTACTTTAGAGGCTAAAGTGGGCTGCTGGATGAGGGAGAGCCTTGCAGAGTCTCTGAAGGGAAGATGGTTTGATGTCAGCAGTTCTTTCCATCATTACCTCCCTCCTCCCTCCCTCCTGCCTGCTCTGAACTGCCTCAGCCCTGCGCTCAGGGCTGTAGCTGAGAACACCGACCTGTAGACCTGCCTGGGTTCCAGTCCCAGCCTTGTCATCTCCTGGCTGGTCCCTTCCCTCTCTGGGCTTCATTTCCCCCATCATGCCCTTGCCCACCTAGATAAAAATGAAAGGACAGCTGGACGAGGGGCATCAGCTCTGAAGGACCCTCTCCCTCCCTCCTGGGGAGATCCAGATGCCCAGAGACAGGACCTCGGCCCTCAGGGCTGGAGGGCCAGGTGAGAGCAGCTCGCCAGGCCACTGATGCAGGGGAGACAGTGCTGGTGAGGCAGATGGGGATGGGAGAGAGGCCACAGCAAGGGGCCGTCTGGACTCCATTGCAGAGTCACAGGGGCCTGAAACCAAGGCCACTTGGGGAACGTGCTTAAGGGCATGTAGAGAGCACCCTCAGGGCCAGAATGTGGTGTGAGGCTGTATTTGTCCAGCAGTGGGGAGCCACGGCTAGTTCTTGAGTGGGGGAAGGGGAGGCTAGGATGCTCCTCTCTGACTTCAGGAAGCCTGGGAATCAGGAAAGCCACAGAGGAAGGCTTCGTGTTTACACCTTTTTAGGCTACCTCCCGCGGAAGTGGGGGGTAGTCTGGGCACCATGGAGACAACCCCCAATGCAGCCGGGTCCCTGCGGTTGGAGGAGAGCTGCAAGGCTTTCCAGGGAGCCCCGCTCCATAGGGAGGAGCCCGCCTGGGGCCTGGGAGGCAGCTGGCTTCTTGCAACCCTGCAATTAGTAGGCAGAGGAGCTGGGTGGTGGCTGGGTGGGGGCTGGGGGGCTGAGAGCTGCAGCTGGTTGATGGGTGCGCCTCTGCCTCCGAGGCCCCACCCACTGCCCCAGAGGGGTGCCAGGCCTGGATTCCTGGGAGGGGATGCAGAGCATAGAGAAAGCCAGAAAAAGAATACTACCAGTAAAGTCATTATTGGACGTGGGTCTGGACAACCCAGTTGCTATTGTCCTCATTTTACGGATTGGGAAATGAAAGCCCAGAGGGATGGGAGCTTGCCAGAAACACCCAGCCAATCCTAAAGAGCCGGGGCTAGCACCATGTTTGTCTGGAGGGCTGGGGTGCAGGGGGGGAGGGTCACTCCTGGGCACGCACTTCAGCGCAGGCATTCCCAGGGGCTTCCCAGTAGACCCAGGTTGGCAAAATGACCTCGGGAGGCCTTCAGAGGACTGACTCCAGGGTCCCCAGCCTGTCCCTGCAGGGGGAGGAGGGGCTGTGTGGGGCTGTCTGGCCCAGCCGGTTCTCTAGCCTGTCTGGGCACCCCAGGCCTGTGAAGAGAGGCCCTGGCACTGCCACCCCTGGGCTGCTGCTGCATTTGGTACTGACTGTGTGCCTTGGGAGACTTCTTATCTGACCAGCAGAAAGAGCCGTGTAGGGCCGGTCCCGCAGGTACTGCAGTGGGGCTGGCGCTGCGGGTGGTTCTGGCTTCAGACTTCCACCAGATCATCCATCTCCCTCCCTCCCTTCTTTTCCTCTCTCCCTCCCTCCCTGCTCTGGCTTCAGCCTTCTATCATATCATCCGTCCATCCATCTTTCTCCGTCCCTTCCTGTTCAGCTCCAGCCTTCTACCATACCTTCCATCCGTCCATCCGTCCTTCCTTCCTTCCTCCCTTCCCTCTTTCAAAGACGCCCATTCAGCCCAGGCTACCATGCTGGCTGCTGGCAGGATCCTCTGGCCTCCAGGAGCATCTGGTTGGGGGTGGGGGGGCAGGCAGGAGAAGCCCACAAGTACACAAGCCCCTGAGACTCTAAGAATGAACAAAGTGCGCTGAGCTTTGAAGGGCTGGTGGGGCTCTGAGCGGGGAGGGGCAAGTCTGGTGGCAGTAGGGGTGCACCTTGGCTGGAGCTGCCGGGTCTCTGGAGAAGTGGAGCGTGGAGGGGCTGCAGGGGCGGGCGGGGGCCGCACCATGTGGGGCCTTGCCTTGGAGAGGTGGGGTAGGGAGCCATAACCAGCTCGGGCCTCGGATCCATCGGACTTGGAATGGCAACATTGCCACCAAACAGCTGTGTGACCTTAGGATAGTTACTTGCCCCCTCTGAGGCTCTGCATCCTCGGTGAAAAGTGGGAAGATGATGGCAGCACCTGCCTCAAAGGGTGTGGAGTGCACAGCGTGAATTAACGAGTTACCTGTTCCGGCAGCCACCCGTGTTGACGAGGAGCTGGCAAGGGTCCTGAGTTCATGGCTGACGTGTGTCCCTGGCCTGGCTATACCTCACCTTGACTTTGGGCCCGTGTCCCCCCTTCTTGGTCAGTTTCCTCAGCTGTTCAAGGAGAGACCGGACTGGCCAGGCCAGATGAAGAGCCCTCACGTGCCGCCGGGGGCCGGGCAGTAATATAAATGAGGCGTACGCAGAGCAAGGCTGCAGGGAGTGGTGGGGACCGTGGCCCGCCCAGGTGCCCGCGGCCCATGCCAGGCGGCATCTGCCTCTCTGCCCAGAGCCTATGGTCACGTGGTAGTGTGAGCCCCATGTGGTCCAATGTGCCGAAGCCTCATGAGAAGGAAACCCGCATTTTCCTGAGAACCTTCCCATTACTAATATTAGCAACTTGTTTAATATAGTTTTCGAAGCATCACGGGAGCCAGATCTGCTGCTGCTGTTGGCAGATGCCACAGCCGTGAATGCCGAGATGGGCGGGCTGTGAGCAGGGAGGCAGCACATTCCAGGCCTGGAGAACCTTCCAGCCCCATGTCAGCCCCTCCTGAGACTTTGGTCTTCCCCTGGGCGATGACGGGGGAGGCCAGGCCCTCTCCTCACTGCCCTTCCAGGAGTGGCCGCGCCCACAGACGGGCTGGAATGGGGCCCCTGCTCAACGCTTTCACCAGAGGTGCCAGGGAGTCAGGGAAGGTCGCCACACTGGTGGCTCTGCTCTGTGTCCGGGAATGGCAGGTCTGCCCGGGGCCTGGGGAGGCGGCGCTTGGGGCTGCTGTCAGTGAGGGCCTGGCTCCCAGGGGTCAAAGGGCATGCAGATTTCAGCCTCTTATGGGACCAACTTCCTGTTTGGGAGAGAAAACAGAAAGGCCCCAGCAGGAAATGGTCCACTTCCCACAGCTCCCCCACTCCTTCCTTTGCCCTCAGAGCCCAGGAGGGAACCGATGGCCTCTCTGCGGTGATAGCAAATCCCACCTCGCCAGCACTGCAAGGTCATTTATCACTCTTTGGCTCTCAGCACTGGGGCCTTGGGTGCCCCTCAGACTGGGCCACAAGAGAGAAAGCACTGAGTGCAGCTCCCCACCTTGGGTACAGTCTCTTTCCCAATTGAAGTGAACTCTCCTTTGGTGCCAGGCCCCTGCTCAGGGCCCAACTGCTCCTTGCATACCCCCTGAGCACAGGGACCTCGCCCCTCCTGCCTGCTAAAACACAATGCTGACAGCGCCTCTTTCTGCAGAAAGCAGGTCTGCTGCCGAGAATTCATCTAAGGGCAGGTGTCTCAATGTCACCTAGACTTGCAGATTCAAAAATGTATGCTATTTTGCTTTAAATAACAGTTTCCACCAGATTTAATGTAAATCTGCTGGTTATAGAGAGTTTAGAAATTAAGTATCAAAAATAGAATTTAAACTACCTGTGATTTCATTACCTACAGCAGGGTGGTGGGCGGGGGGGGGTGGGGGGAGATAAAAAGATTTACTGTTTACTGTGTTTACACCTACGTCTGGTCACCTGAACTTCATCCCTTGCAGGCGGCAGAACCGAGTGGGCAAATCCCTCCTCCAGGGCAATCCTTCACGTATTTTAATAAAAACTAACCTTTACTGAGCTTCAGATGAGCTCATCTTATTCTCACGATAGCTGTATGAGATGTCTAATTTATAGATGGAGAAACTGGGGCTCAGAGAGGTCAAGTAACTTCCCCATGGGTGCATAGCCAGGAAGGGGCAGAGGCAGAGATCTGAATCCAACTGGAGGAGAATGGAAGCTGCCTCTTCTCGGATTAGACACACACTGTACCTTTTCCTTCCCCTCACAGGAGCCGGCTGTCCCACCATCTAGCCATCCCGTTAGATGTTCATTCATTCTTCTGCACATTCGTTCATTCATTAAGTCAGTCGAGATTCCTGGGCCCGGGCTGGGTGCCAGGTGTAGGCTGGTGCTGTCCCTACACCAGCTGCCCACATCTGCCACACTCTCGGGACGTGCCCTGAGAACCCAAACTCCGTTTATTACAAAAGACTGAGTTTGTCACATTGTACTATAAACAGCTCCACCTGACCCCCAAGCTTCAGAGAGGCAGCCCGGTCAAGGCCCCAGGAGTCGCCTTGCCATCGCCCTCACCCGAGTGAAGGTCCTGCGTGGATGGGGGTGCTGTGACCGGGCCCTGGAGCGGTCCTGTTTTTATAAGATCAGATGGGTCCAAGGACCTTGTGCACATACATACAATATACACATACAAAACAGAGGCCTTGGCTTCCCTTCCGTGGGGTGTTGCTAGGGTGGGACGTTTGACCCCCACCCTGGGACAGGAGGAAGTCAGCCGCGGCGGGGAGTGCGGACGGCAGCATCAGTCCGAATGGCCCGTCAGCCTAGGCCCCTGGGGGCCTGCGGCCACGGGCCAGTCCTGTGGAGCCCTGGGAGCTCTAGGCCACCTGGATCTGCAGGTCCTCATCCTCATCCAGGTCGCTGGCTCCGTCCCCAGCTTCCTCGGTGCCGAAGCGAGTGCTTCGGATCTTCCCGAAGAGGGGCGCGTTCTGCTGCTGCCTTCGCAGCCTGTGGGGCCGGGGGACAGGACGGTCAGGGTGGCCTGTCAGCTTCAAGCAGCAAGGCCTTCCCAAGCACCTCCCTGCTGCCAGGAACCAGGCTGGGCCTTTCTCATCCATTACCTCATCTCCCAGCACCTCCCAGAAGCTACAGAGATGGGGGAGGTGGTACTGTCACCCCCGTTTGACAGACAAAGGAACTGAGGCACAGAGCAGCCAAGCCATTTGCCTAGTCCCCCAGACAGTAGTGAGTGAGGCTGGGCTCCACGGTGGGCTGGGGCTGGAGAGGTAAAGTAGCCGGGCAAGGTTGTATTGCCGAGATTCGAACCCACGTCAGGCCCCAAAGATCACGGGGAGTTTGGGGCTGGGGGTCTGAGTCCGCTGCCTCCCTCCCAGGGACAGGGAGAAAGTGCTCTGCCCTAGCCCTTCCCCACAGTAAAATTCCTAAAGCCGAAATTTACAACGGCTGGTGGAGGAAATGCCCATCCCCCAGCCAGTGGCCGCCTTGGCTCCATCTTACTGGAAGGCATGAATTATTAACAGGGCAGGGAGGGGCCCGGGCGGGGGCCTCCATTACTGGGCCGTGATTTAGTGAGCTGTCCCCGGAACATTAAAGCACAAAAAGTTGGAAAATAAAGCGAGGCGGCGGTCCTGGGCAGCCCTGCCCTCCCCATTGGAAGCACTTGAGAGGCTGGGTAGAGCCTGCCTGTCCATTTGGGGGAGTTTATGGCTTCCAAAGAATGTGGCCAACGGCGCGGTAAAGCCCAGGCCAGGCGGCCCCTGAGGGTATGTGCGGTGGGGGTGGAGGGGCCCACACTGGTCAGACACGGAATCTGACCTGGACTCCTGCCTGGGCCCCTGCACAGCACTTTATGGGTCTCATCCCAGTCAGACGGGGAAACTGAGGTCAGGCTGGCCATGTCACACGGCTTCTGGCCTGGCTTCGCGGCCAGCCGCGGAAACTTCGCACACGGCAGCACACAGCACACGCTCAGGAAATGAGGCCACAGATGCCAGGGGGCAATCTGGCGGGAACGCTGGCCCGCTGCGTGGCCATGGAGACACTCACCTTCTGAGGCCTGAGTCTCCTCATCTGCCAGCTCCCTGGCACAAAATATCTTCTATTTCCCTTCTCTCATCAGAGCATGATTCCTGAGGCCCAACACGGGACCCAAACATGAGTGCCCCCCAACAGCCCCCCGGGGCTCCCCAGGGCAGCAGCGATACCAGCAGTAGCAGCTGACCATCACTCTGCACTTACTATGTGGCCGGTACTTTTCTAAGCTCTTCTAACTCATAACAATCGAGAGGTAAGAACTGTATCATTCCCATTTTACAGATGAGGAAACTGACACAGGGAGTTTAAGCAAGTGACCCAAGACCGCACTGACCATTTACAGAGCCACGAAGTGCAGATTCCCACCCCCCGGGGCAGCCTGGCTGCAGAGCCCACACCCCTCTGTTCTGTGAAATAAGAGGATGCAACTAAGGGCCTGGCACAGGAAGTTGGTCAGTATAGTGGTCGTGATGCCCTTGGCTGGTGGGGCGCCTGTGAAGGAGGCAGGGGCTTGGGCTCGGCTCTCCGTGACGTTATGGCCCCAGGGAGAGTGCAGGGAGAGGGTGCGCTGCACAGAGTCCTGGGATGGGTGGTCAGGGGAGGGATGAAGAGTGCACTAGCGGGGTCCCCAGACACCCCGAGGTCCTCCTTTACTAAGGCTGCCGTGTCCTGTCTACTGCTGATGAGTTGGGTCGACCATCAGGGCTGGGGCTCCTTCCGTGCGTCCCTGCCTTCCGATTCCTCAGCTCCCAGCTGGCCTGGGTCACCCCAGCCTGGGGACCCTGGGGGCTACTTGTCCTTCCTGGTCGTGATTCCCCAGACCCTCTGGCCCCGACTGCCGCCCTTCCTTCCCTCTCCCCACCCACCCACCTGCCTGCCAGCCGCAGGAGATGACCCCAGGGCTCCCAGCTGGTCTCGCTTCCTGCACCCCCCTTCCCTGGTTTCCTGGCCCTGGCCCTTCCTGCCTGGAGGGGACAGGATTCTGGCCCCAGGGGTCTTGGATCTCTTCCTTCGCTGCCCTGCCCTCTAGCAGGAGTCTGGGGCTCCAACCCTGACTGGGAGGAGGTCTCTCTGCCCTGTTCCGGTGTCCTGGCTGGGAATCCTCTCGCCCCTGGCCCCGCCCCGCCCCCCGCCCCGCCCAGGGCTGCGGGCTGGGCTCACCTGGACTGCAGATGTTCCAGCTGCACTTGGAGATTCTCGCTCTGCTCCGTCTGCTCGTCCAGCGACCGCTGCAGCTTGCGTGCCTGGTTGTGGGCCTCGTCCAGCTGGCGGGTGAGCAGGGCCAAGAGCGTGAGGGTCACCTTGGGGCAGCCACTCCTGCCATCACTCTGCCTTCCCCAAGAGCAATCCCTGTCTGTTGTTTGAGGCCAAGACCAAGGCCCACCTCCTCCAAGGAAGCATCCCTTTGCTCCTCCTCTCCACAGCTGCTGCGCCTGCCTTCATCTACACATCTTCCAACACCCAAGCTACCGACGCAGCTATCAACCCACCTGCACGTCTCTCCGTATGGGTCGGTTCATCTGACCATTCATCCGTGGAATAACGTCTGTCCACGGAGATACCTACCTACCTGCCCACTCACCATTGCTAATTCTACCCGGCCAACCCATTCACCCCACCTATCTGCTTCCACTCTCCCAGACTCATCTATTATCCCATCTTTCCATCCTTCTGTCCTTTCTCTCTGTCCATTCATCCTTCTACCACCGATCCAATCGGTTACGTGGCCATCTTTCCACTGTCATTTATCTTTCCACGTATCCACACACTCATCCATCATTAGTCCACCCATGCACCCATCCATCTATCCAATCACCTACCCATCCACCCACCCATCCAATCACATACCCATCCACCCATCCGTCTATCCAATCACCTACCCATCCACCCACGCATCCACTCACCTATGAGACATCTATTGTTACCTCTCCTCCATCCCTCCCTCCTTCCCTCTCCCCCTTCCTTCCCCATCCATCTGTCCATCTGTTCTCTCATACATCTGTTCAGCTGTCCATGAAGTTATTCTCTTGTCTTTCCACTTACACATCTATGTGCTACCTGTGCCTCCCGCACATCCACCCACTCATCCATCCATTAATCTATTCAACTATTCGTCTCCTTGTCCGTTTTTCTTCCCACGTGACTACACACGCATCTATCTACCATCCATTGGACGCCCATCCCCCCGCTCTACCCTGGACGCCTCCCGAGTGTCAGGCTCAGGAGGGGCACCGGAGACCCAGCGCAGAGTGACACAGGAGGGCCCTGCCGCCCCACTCCCTCCCCAGCGGAGGTCTGAGGCCGCCCTCTGGGCCCCAGCGGGTGCCCCCACCTCATCCTCGGCCTGGGCCAGCTCCTTCTTGAGCTCCTCCACCCGCAGCCGCAGCTTCTTCACCTCTGCCTCGTGCTGCTCCACCCGCCGGTTGGCATGTGCCAGCTCTGCCACCTTCTCCTGGAACTGCTTCTTCAGCTTGCCATGCACGTGTTTCAGGTCTGCTAGCTCCTGCGCGGCAGGGGGGACGGGGGAGGGCTCAGCGTCACAGGGCACCTGTGCTCACTGCTGTGGCCCCAGCACCCACAAGGCTGCACACGGTGGGTGCTCAGTGGATGCTTGGAGGATGGAGAGGTGTGAGCAACACACTGAACAAAGGGCACTGGCCCTGGGCCGGGCTCCCAGTTAAGTGCTCAGGGAGCTTCGGCCACAGTGGGCGCCCAGGAGGAGCGGCTTCTAGGTCAACTGCTGCCCTGTCCTAGCTGTTACTTCAGGGGTCTCCGGCCCCCAGGGGGCTGGTGTTCGACACCCAGTGGGTGCTCCACCCTGGCTGCATGGCACTCCAGAGGTGCCCCGGCCCCGGCCATTCCACCCACTCTCCCACCTTGTTCTTCTCGAAAAGTGCAGCCTGGCTGGCCCGCAGGTCACAGTCCAGCGCGCTGGCTGTCTGCCTCCGCCGCCGGGCCAGTGCCTCCTCCAGGTCCCCGACCTGCGCCCGAAGCTTCTTGTTTTCCCGCTCCAGGCCCAGCTTCTCGGTCTCCAGCCGCTCACGGCGACCCCACTCGGCCGCGTTCTCGGCTTGCAGCCGCTCCATCTGCGACAGGGCGGGACGGGGTCAGGGTTCCGGGGGACAGGGGACAGAGGGTCTGGGCTGGAGGCTCCCCCTCCCCACCTCTTCCCAGAGCCATTTTTGGCTCCAGGAAGCAGACCCAGCTGCAGCAGCTATAATTACCCGGGGCCGACTCCACAGTGTGCAGGAGGTGAGGGAGCTTCTGGTCTCCGCGTGGGAGCGGCCCCTGTGGCCGGAGCCCCGGTGTGGCTGGGCCCCACCTCGGCGCACAGACCTGCGTCCTGCCCTCTTCCAGCCCCTGGCTCTCCCGGGCCCCAACCCGCCCGGGCCCCAGCGGCGGCCTCACCTCGCCCCTCAGTTCGGCCATCTTCCTGTCCATGCTGGACCGCGCACCGAGCTCGTCCTCTAGGTCTTCGGACATGCGGCCCAGCTCGTCCTGGTGAGCCTCCTTCAGGATGCTGAGCTGCCGGGCACAGCACAGCCTGGTTAGGCGAGAACCGCCCGGTGCTTCCGGAACCAGCTCCGGGGGATGGGCTCTGGTGCGGGACCGCTCTGCAAAGAGCCTGAGGTGGGGCCCACGCAGGCCACGGGGATTCCAGAACGGAGCCGTTTCCGGCATCTCACACTTCCTACCTCATTGCCAGCTGGCTTCCCAGTGTCCACTCGTGACCCCTGTCACCCCACTTTCTACAACAGTGGCCTTGAAGGAGCGCTTTAAAAAGATAAATCCAATCAGGCCTCCATCCTTGGGTTCCTTAGGATAAGGACCGACTCCTTTCCATGGCGTCATGAAGCCCTGCGTGGTCGGACCCTTGTCCATCTCTCCTCAGCCTCCTCTCCCACCTCTCTCCCCTTAGTTCACTGTGCTCTAGGCTCTAGTCCTCAAACACACCAACTTCCTGTCTACCGCTGGGCCTTTGCACACACGGTTCTCTACTTGGTGCACTCTTTCCAAGGCATTTTACAGCACTGACTTTTCTCAGTTAGGCTTGGGCCCAAATGCCCCCTCCGCAGGGAGGCCTCTGTCACCCTCCCTGACTACAAGGGGTGCCTCCTCTGCTCTCTGTCCCACTCCTCGCTAGAATGTGAGCTCGGGAGGGCAGAACTTGTCTGTCTGTCCACCTCTGTATCCCTGATGCGCTCGGCGCTGGGGAGCCCTCTGCTGGCTGACTGCACCCAGTGGATCTGAACGGGGTCTGCTGAGGGCGCGGGGCTGGCCCCATCAGGATCGCCTGGGGTGATTTCGGCAGACCGCGTGCTCCCTGTTGCACAGCAGGAAAGCAACAAACCACCACTCTGTGCAGCGACATGGGTGAGCCTCAAATACACAACAGCGAGGGAAAGAAGCCAGGTACAAAAGAGAATCTTTATAATTATCTGCTAAACTGAACATTCATGTTTTATTCACTTTTCTGCAAATGATTCCACTTCACAATTTGAAAAGATTAAAAAGGCAGATTCCTGGACGTATCCCCCAAAGATGTCGGTTCAGGAGAGTGAGGGTTTGAGGATATTTCCTAAGGGATTCTACCACGGGACCAGTCTTGGTTGCCTCCAGGACAGTTTCGGGCTCTGAGGTCAGGGATCTTTGCACCTTCTGGAAATGCAGCGGATCCACAGACTTTCTCTGGGTGGCTGCGCCCCCTGGTGGTCATGGGGGCTGGCACAGGAGGCAATAGCAGCCACCCCACGGGACCTCTGCCTACTCTGACTCCTGGTGCTGGTGTGGCTGGCGGAATCGCCTCTCCACCAGCTGGAGTCGCAGTTTTGTCATTTATAAAATGGGGACATCAGGGTCCAGTGTCCTTGGCAGCCCTGAGGCATCAGTGAGACCTAGCACACACTAGGTGCCCAATGAATGCTACATGCAGACTCCTCCCCTTCAGCATGGTCTACAAGCCCAATGCAGTCTGGCTCCCCTGTAACCTCATTTCTCACTACCCTCCAGCCATACTGGCCTGTTTCCTGCACACATTAGCCTTATTCTGGCCTCAGGACATTTGCATTTGCTATGCCTTCTGCCAGGAACTCTGCTCCCATATCCTCTCAAGGACGGCTTCTAATTCCTTTAGGTCTTGCCTCAAACGTCCCCTGCTTAGAGAGGCCATTCTTTTCTGTAAAGTTTATTTTTTTTACACTTCATTTACTTACTTTGAGAGAGAGAGAGCAGGGGAGGGGCAAAAAGAGAGAGAGAGACACATAGAACATACCAAGCAAGCTCTACGCTGACAGCGCAGAGTCCGAGACGGGGCTCGGCTCGACCTCACAAACTGTGAGATCAAGACCTGAGCCGAAATCAAGAGCTGGACGCTTAACCGACTGAGTCACCCAGGTGCTTCAAGAGAGGCCATTCTTTTTGTTTATTGTTTGTTTTAAAGTTTATTTTTGAGGGGCGCCTGGGTGGCTTAGTCGGTTAAGCGTCCGACTTTCGCTTAGGTCATGATCTCGCGGTTCGTGGGTTCGAGCCCTGCGTCGGGCTCTGCTGACTGCCAGCTCAGAGCCTGGAGCCTGTTTCAGTCTGTGACTCCCTCTCTCTCTGACCCTCCCCTGCTCACGCTGTCTCTCTCTCTCTCCTAAAAATAAATAAAACATTAAAAAAAAAAAAAAAAGCTTATTTTTGAGCAAGAGAGAGACAGAGTGTGAGGAGGGGAGGGAGAGAGAGAGACACACACACAGAGTCCAAGGCAGGCTCCAGGCTCTGAGCTGTCAGCACAGAGCTTGATGTGGGCTCGAACTCATAAGCTGCAGGAGCATGACCTGAGCTGAAGTCAGATGCTTAACTGGCAGAGCCACCCAGGCGCCCCTAGAGAGGCCATTCTTGACCCCCGCCCCCAACTCTCTTATTCTGTCTGAGTGCTTCAGAGCTTATGGATGTATCTGCCTGGTGACTGCCTGGAGTACCCCTGTGCTCTGCCCCACAGCCCCTACATGGTGAGCTCCTGAAGGCAGGGCCATCGCCAGCACGCAGAACGGTGTACGGCACACAGCCAGTGCTGGACGAGGAAATAACTGAGCTCCCTTTCTCCTACTCCCGCTGCTGAAATTCAACAGTGCAGTGCTGCCTCCTCCAGGAAGACCACCAGCCCAGGACTCACCTGCTTGAGCATCTCCTGCTTGGTCTTGTTCAGCTCCTCATACTTGATCTTCCACTGACTGAGCTCCCCCTCCAGCTTCTCAATGTTCCTGCTCAGTGCCAGTTTATCCCTGGAAAGAGGAGAGAGAGCGGCAGACATGGGGATGAGCTCACTGAGGCCCTCTGCTGAAAGTCCTCACATGTGGTCTGCACCTGTGGAGCCCATGCCCAAAGTCCTTGCCTCGGCATTCAAGGCCCCGGCACCCCGCACTGTGGCAGGCACCCTGCATTTGCATTCCTTCCGGAGGGGCACCCCAACCCTATGCACAACAGCAAGGGCACAGCTCACGACGTGGGGAGTGACCGAGACTCCAGGGCCTTGAATGCGTGTCTGATAATCACGCACGACCGGGTCAATGAGTGGGCAGGGACAAGGCGTCCCTGCGTCCTGCAGTGAGCGCCGGGGACACACTGGGCAGCCCAGAATTATCCTGCATCCCTGTAACGCGCACATGTCCTGTTGGACATCCCTGGGCGTGAAAAGGATCTGAGCCTAGAACCTCACGCTGATTCCCACATAAACAGAAAGCATCTTTGGTTGAAACGCGGTGTTCCCCAGGAACGGAATCGCTGCGTAAACTGAGGGAATGCCGTGTTTTGCTTTGTTCAGAACTTTACCAAGGGCTGTTCTGGGGAAATCTGGTTGCCACAGAGACAGCACTGGTGTCTTCGAGTTGCTGACCCCACACACCTGCACCTGCCTTTTTTGTAGCCGTCCGGGGAGGTGACTTACCCGAGTGAACACACATAAGGCTGCAGCCCAGTGCCTGACTCAGGGTATTTGCTGGTATGGTTATCGTTCTTCATAAAGTTACCATATGTTGGCTACATCTGGCCTTGAACACCACAGATTTCCACCACAGGGCTCTACTTACACGCACGCTTTTCAGTAAATACAGTACAGTACTGTAGGTATATTTTCCTTTCCTTTTTTACTTTTTCTAAAAATTTTTTTAATGTTTATTTACTTTTGAGAGACAGAGAGACAGAGCATGAGCAGGGGAGGGGCCGAGAGAGAAGGAGACACAGAATCCGAAGCAGGCTTCAGGCTCCGAGCTGTCAGCACAGAGCCCGATGTGGGGCTCAAACTTATGAACCAGGAGATCATGACCCAAGCTGAAGTCAGCTGCTCAACTGACTGACCCACCCAGGCGCCCCTCCTTTTCTTTTTTAAAAAAATGTTCATTTATTTTGAGAGAGAGAGAGAGAGCATGCACACAAGCAGGGGAGGGGCAGACACAGAGGCAGAAAGAGAATCCTAAGCAGGCCCTGCACTGGTGGCCCAGAGACCGACATGGGGCTCAAACTCATGAACCGTGAGATCACGACCTGAGCCGAAATTAAGAGTCAGAGCCTTAATCAACTGAGCCACCCAGGCGTCCCTCCTTTCCTATTCTTATCATTTTCTTTTCTCTAACTTACTTTAAGAATATAGCACATGATACGTATAACATACAAATGTGTCCATCGACTGTTTACATTACCGATAAGTCTTTTGGTCAAGAGTAGGCTATTAGGTTTTGGGGAGTCCAATTCTGGGAGTCAGATTTTCAGCTGCACGGTGGGTGGCCAGTGCCCCTAACCCCCACAGTGTTCAAGGGTCGCCTGCGCTTCATTATTTCTTCTCGTGGAGCCGGGCCTAAGCCGTCCTGTGTCATGATATGTGTATTTTACAACCGGCTCCCCTCATTTCTATTTCCCCTCATTTAAATTTCAGTTAGTGAAATAGGTCGAGTTTTGTCTGTTTTGCTTAAACAGAAATTTACGATCTCACAGTTCTGGAGGCTAGAAGTCCACGATCAAGGTGTCAGCAGGACTGGGTCTGTCTGAGGCCCACGAGAGGGAATCTGTCCCCTCGATTCTGGGAGTTTGTGGGCCATCTTTGGGGTTCCTTGGTTATAGAAGCATCACATCGACCTCTGTCTTCATACTATCTATGCATCTAATTTCTGGACAGACAAGGGGCTGTAACAAAATATTCTTCATCATCAGGCCTGTGCCCCCATCCAGGTCACCAGGGGCCTCCCTGTTCCAAATCCACCGGTCACAGCTTAGTCCTCTTCCTACCTCATCAACTGCTCGCCGCCTCCTCTGTGAAACAGGCACCCCCCGTCTCTGTGTCCCTCTGGGACTCCCTTCTCCTGTCTCCCCTCCCGCCTGGCTCTTCCTCTGATCTCCACACTAGGCTGGCTCCGGGGCTCCATCCTCTGACCTCCCTGCACCCGGCCCGTGCCTTTCCCAGGATCTCCGAGTCGCTGCTGGCTTTAAGTTTTTGCCTCCAGCCCAGATCCACCTCGTGAACTCCAGACTCTTCACGTGCCCAGCTGTCTCCCTGTCATCTCCAACTCAGCTGGCCCCAGCCCGAATCCCCGTCTGCAGCCCCTCGACCTCCCTGATCGTCCTTCCCTGCTTTGCGTGCGGCGCTCTCTCCCCCATAGAACAAAACCTCCTGGGGACGGCTGGGGAGGTTTGGTCCTATTCACAGCTGTATCCTCACTGCCGGGCACAGGTTTGCCACAGCAAACGCACGATACGTGTTATTTAAATTAATGGCTTATTAAAATAAATTAATAAAACAAAACTCGCACGGGGTCCTCCGTAGAGCACACTGCTCTAAAGTTCCAGGATCAGAGCGAAGCAGTGCCGTTCACCTTCCGCGAGCCTCGCGCTCCACAGCACTGACTTCCATCCTGTGACTCTGAGGGTGCCTGGCCCGCCCCCCCGGGGCCCTGCTTCCCTCCCGGGACTCACTCTCGCTCCTTGAGCAGCACCTTCTGGGACTCATCTAGCCGCAGCCGCAGGGCGGTCAACTTGGATGCGTCCTCTTCGATGGCGGCCGTGTCCTCCCAAGGCAGCCGGTTGCGCTCCTGGCGGCCTGAGCCGCCTCGTGGGCCCCCGGCCCCCGCGCCGCGTGCCTCCCAGCAGCCCTCGGGCTCCTCTGGTCTGCTCTTCATCAGGCTCTCCACTAGCTCCAGCTCCTGGGGGGACCAAGGCGGAGGATGGACCAGCGGCTGCTGAGCTCCCTCTGGGCCAACCCCGTGGCCTTTCCCAGGCCCTGGGTCTGGGATCAGCTTGGTGGGTAACCTTGGTAAGCCCTTCTGGGCCCCAATCTCCTCATCTGTAGCCTGCCTCTCTGTCCCCGGAAAAGAGAGACATCCCCCCTCTTCTGGGCCTCTCCCCTTCACTTCCGGGAACTGTGCACTGAGTCCACTAAAGTTCTCTGTATCCTAAAGATTTCCAAGAAGATGGTGAGCTCCCTGTCATTGGAAGTATGCAAGCATATGGTGGGACACTGATGTGAATGGAAGTAGAAGCAGAGACGCTTATAATGGATAAGAACTAGATTCTCTCAAAAGGAATTCTGGCCCTAAGATCCCATTCTTTCGTGCACTAAGGCACCAGGAGACACGTGACATGGTAAAAGAGGCACAGGAAGGCAGCCCCTGTGAGCAGAACCAGCTCCCAGACAGGAAGTACTGAGGGATTAGTAACTCAGTGCCATTAGTAACTCCTCTCCTCCAGTCTACCCACCCCCCCCTCCTTGGCCCCTTCAGCCTGCCTCTGCCACACCCACGGCCGGCCTCGACCACAAACCTGAGACTTCCGAGGCCTCTTTTCCAGCCTGGCTTCCCTTGTGACCTTTCTATGTGAGTCTAGGCCAACCCCTTCCCTATCTGGCCCTCAGTTTCCCTATCTGGACTGGGACAGTGGCCCTGGGAACTACCTGGGGAGAGAGATTCTACTCCTAATGAATTTCACTCAGACTGTCTGGGTGGGGGCCTTGCATGTCACCTGGTACAAAGCCGTGTTTCACAAATGCGGAAACGAGGAGGAAAGGGACTTGTTCTGAGTCACGGACCCAGACCCAGACCCTGATCACCACCAGCAGCAGAGAAAAATCCCAGGCCGTGACCCCAAGGTTCCTGCCTGCGCACCGCCACCTCCGGGGCCACGAATGATAACCACAACAAGGACAGGTCAGGAACAGCAGCATGAGGCTGGCTGGCAAGGACTGTCATCATCTGCCCCAAAGAAGAGCACTGAATGCCACCTCCAAACACCAGGCAGGCCCGGGGAAGCGGGGGCTTCAGCCAGCAGCAGGCACCAGTGCCCACTCTAGCCGACAGGGATGGAAGGGGAGGGGAAGGGGCAGCCAGGAATCTTCGCGGGAGGAGCTGGACTGTCTGAGGACGAGAAGCTGGCAGGAATGCGAGTTTGGACTCTGCTCCTAGAAGGCCTGCTGGGTCAGGGGATGCTGCCCTCCGCACCCACCATGAATGCTCCAGCCATACTGATTATTACAGTGGGCTCTGAGGTTCACCCGGGTTCAACTACCCAAAGCTCCGGTCACCAGCTGGGAGGCATGGGTACTTAATCTCTCTATGCCTCAGTGTCCTCATCCAGAAGGCAAACACCTCTTGGGATTGTGAGAATTAACTAGATGCTGCACCTGCAGAGCGTGGTGCCCCGTGCAGGCGCCCCAGGAAAGACGCGGCCCGCTATTCTCGGCCTCTGGGCTTCTGCATGCCTAGAACATCTGCCGCACATTTCACAGCCAATCCCTCCACATCCTTTTAGTCTCCGCTTAACTTAAATGGAACCTCATTTCCTCCAGGAAAGCTGTGAAGCCCCCTCCCCAAAGCCTGGTTCAGGGACCTTCTCTGTGCTCCTAGTGCCCCGGGTCTCCCACCCCCTCAGCTTTGACCGACGGAGGTTATAAATGTTCACCCCTAACCGGCCCCCGTTAAGTTGAATTCAATGAATGAATTCAGCTCTGCTGCTAATGGATGCCTTACCAGGCAACTGCTTGGATCATCCTCCTGCCCCAAAGGGACGATTCCATGGTTCTGTTGACTGCTCAGGTGGGGGAGTGGAGGGATCACCAGATCCCAGACTCGCCGCCCTGGTGGTCTCCCGAAGAATGGCCCCAGGGAGCAGAGGCCGACCCAGGGGAGTGAAACCTCCCAGGGGACCAAGCTCTTCCTATCCCCCTCTCGGAGTCCCGCAGCGCTCCCTTTTGGACCCCTGTGCCAAGGCCCTGCCCAGCAGCGCCCCCACCCCCCAGCTTCCACAGCCCCACCCGCGCCGCGCACCTGGCTGCCCTGGGACACTTCCGACCCGACGTCGCGCACCGGCTCCTGCTCGCGCTCGGGCTCCGGCCCGGCCGGCGTCCTGTCGGCGTTGCCCCGGGCGCCCCGCAGCCGCGCCAGCTCGCGGCCCCGAGCCTCGCACTCGCCCTGCGCCTCCTGGCGCTCGCGCCGCGCGCCCGCCAGCTCCTTGGTGAGCGCGTCGAGGCGCTGGCGCAGCTGGCGCACCTCCTCGCGCGCGCGGTTGCGCTCGGCGCGCACCTTGCTCCACTTCTCGCGCCAGTTGGCGGTGCAGTCCGACCACCAGCGCATCGTCTTCTCCATCTGCGCCGCCCGCGCGCGCGCCTCCTCCAGCTCCCGCAGCCGCAGCTCCTCGCGGCTCTCCCAGTCCCCGTCGGCCAGCAGCGCGGGCGCCGGCGGCAGCGACAGCGCGGGCGGCGGCCCCGGCGACGGCGTGCCGCTGGGCGGCGTGGGCGGCAGCGAGTCGGCCGGCCCCATGCGCTCGGGCGACGGGCTGCCCAGGATGGTCAGGAGGCTGCCCTTGGACAGCTGCGGGGACTCGGCCAGCCGGGGGCTGGGCCCGTGGCTCATGGTGCGGCCGCGCGGGCGGGCCCTGCGTCCCAGCTCCGGCCGGACTCAGGGGCGGTACGCGGAATGCCCGGCGGACGCGATACGACTGTGCATGATGCCCACTGCTCCCCACCGCTCTCCCGGCCACTGGGTGGGGGACGCTTCTTCCTCGGACCTGTGGGAGAACACAATGGTTATTAGGCTGTGGCCACTCTCTGTCCATACCCATAAGCTCAGATATGGGAAGGGCGAAACCGGCAGCGGGAACAGCATGGGCAAAGGCAGGAGGTGGGAAACAGTCTGCTTCAGGAAAGTCCCAGTGAGGTCGTAGTGGTGAGCAACGGCTTGTAACGGCTTCCTCACTGGCCTCCAGACACAGCCCTACGGTCCCTTCAGCCTGCAGCCAAGGCAGCTGATCTGAAACCTTGATGTGCTGTCCCTGACCTTCAAGTCCAATCTCACCCAGTGAATGGCTAGTACTACTTCCCCATCCCCACTCCAAATGCAGCATGCTTGCTTGCTGACATTGCTGCCAGGAGTCCCCTCCCTGCCTCTTGCTGCACTGGGCTCTCATGCTTAAAATTTATCTGAGGTATCATCGCCTCCTAGAAGTCCTCCTGGACCTCCTCAGGCCAGGTGGCCAGCCCCACCTGTGTGTCCATCACTAGTCTGACCACCTCACCTAACCATCGATCTGCATCCCTGTCTGCTTCCCACTCTGTAAGTTTGCCAGGGGCAAGGGCTGGCTCTTGGCCACCGTTTTAGTCCCAGTATGTGATGACAATGGCAATGACATTTGTGGAGGGCCGACTAGAGGCCAGGTACCATGCCCAGGGTCCCATTTATTCCTCTCAATAGAACCAAGGAAAATGACTGTCATTTACCTAAGAGGAAAGGGAGGCTCAACTCAAGGTGGGTTAAAGCCTCAGATTTGATTGCAGACGCCATACCTAGGAGTCCAAATGCAAACACCGGTGAGGGTTTGGGGAACACAACACATCCTCTGGTGGTGTGATGGAAATAAGCCGGTGTGCAGTGTGGGGGTGTGGCGTGGTGAGGGATGAGTCCCACTGCTGGCCTCTGCTCTTTGTGGGCCACATCCCTTTAAAAGAAGTGAGATGTGGGGCGCCTGGGTGGCGAGGTCGGTGAAGCATCTGACTCTTGATTTTATCTCCGGTCATGATCTCATGGTTTGTGGGTTCAAGCCCTGCAGTGTGGTCAGCTTTGATATTCTCCCTCTCTGCTCCTCCCCACCCCCTTTTTCTTAAAATAAATAAACTTAAAAAAAAAGTGAGACGCATGCCTTCTCTCTGTCCCCAACCTGGCCCCCTCTCCCTCCGCTGTGGTCCTGTGCGGACCACCAGCAGCAGCGACACAGCACGCTCTCCTTCCCCGTTCAGCTGAGCAGGTCCTGGTCCTGGCCCAGGGCCCCGCCCGGGGGCCGCCCTTTCCCTTTCGGCGCACTCCTCACAGGACTCAGCGCCACGGCAAAGTGCCTCAACACTGGCTGCTCCCCGCACTGCCTGGCCAACCCTCTCTGTCCCCCCCTCATCGTCCTCACGCCCCGAACCCCCACTCTCAGCAGGTGATCTAATGTCACAGTTGGCAGTGAAAAGGGATCCATCAGATTGACACTCCCTCCAGGTCCTGTTCAGGGCCCACGGCCCCCTTCTCTCTGGCCCTAAGAGGATGGAAGGGCTCTCCCTCTTTGGGTCAAAGGTCCCCTCGCCAGCTTCTCCCGTCTCTGCCAATGACGCCCTCTCTAGGGGGCCTCACCCCTGCTGGAGTCTCTCTGGCACAACCCTCCCGCTTCTCCCCTCCTCTGTCTCATCCACCCTCTCAGTCTCCCTGCCCTCTCTCATCAGGCCACGCCAGGGTAGCTTCCCGCCACACTGCCCTTCCTACCTACTGGGCAAGTCTCAGCCCTCGCCGCCACACCCGTCGGTCTCTCCTGCAGCACCGTCTTCCAGGACGCCATGCTCTCCAGGCCCTCCTCCTCCTCTCCAACTGCTTCCCACCAGCCTTCCTGGGACAACTCGGTGCATCCGGTGAGTGCCGGCGTCCGGTCCTGGGCCCCCTTCTCTCTCACCGCCCCTCCTGAGCCATCCCACCGCGTCGTGAGCAGCCCTGAATCTCTGTCTAGTCCAGGCTCCCCACCTGAACCTCCCGTGCCCCTCCCAGAATGTTCCTCGGATAACCCAGACTCAGCCTGGTCCAACTGGAGCTCACCGTCTCCATTCTATCCACAACCAGCTCTTCCTTCTGGATGCCCCCGCTGGGAGAAGGGCACGTCCTCACTCCTTCATGCTGCCGAGTACTTTCCAGAATCTGCTTTCTCCCCACACCCCCCATCCTGTCACCTCTGAGTCTTGTCAGCTTGCCACGTGTCACAAGGATCTATCCACCTTCTTCCTACTCTGTCACTAACCTGTCAAGGCCACCACCATCATTTCTCACCCGGGTGACCACAGCCACTGCTTCTCTGCTCTCCCCCCCGAACCACCTTTGCCTTCTTCAAATGCATTCTTTCAAAAAAAATTTTTTTTAAATGTTTATTTATTTTTGAGAAAGAGACTGTGAGCAGGGGAGGGACAGAGAGAGAGGGAGACACAGAATCTGAAGCAGGCTCCAGGCTCTGAGCTGTCAGCACAGAGCCTGACGCGGGGCTTGAACTCACGAACCGCAAGATCATGACCTGAGCCGAAGTTGGTCACTCAACCAGCTGAGCCACCGGGCGCCCCTCTTCAAATCCATTCTGAACAGTGGTAGCCAGGGTGAATTTTTGTTTAATTTTTTTTTAAGTTTATTTATTTTTAAGGTGGGAGAGAGGTAGAAAGAAGGGGACAGAGGATCTGAGGCAAGCTCTGCACTGACAGCAGAGAGCCAGACGCAGGACTTGAACTCACAGACGGTGAGATCATGACCTAAGATGAAGTCGGACACTTAACTGACTGAGCCACCCAGGCGCTCCCAGAGTGAGTTTTTAAAAATGCAAACCTGGGGGCACCTGGCTGGCTCAGTCAGTTTAGCGTCTGACTCTTGATGTCAGCTCAGTTGTGATCTCGAGGTTTAAGAGCCTGCTTGGGATTCTCTCCCTCTCTCTCTGCCCCTCCCCTGCACGGGCTCTCTCTCTTAAAATAAATAAACAAACACTTTTTAAAAATGCAAACCCGATCATGCCACTGGTCACACTTTGTTGTTAGCATAGTTGTGACCCTTCTCTAGTGTCAAGTCCAAGCTCACTCCCTCTAGGAGTCCGAATCACAAAAGTCTTTCAATCCCAAAAGAAGCCAGAGCCACCTGGTCCCACCACTTGTCCACTGTCTGCACTGCCTCACCCTCTTCCCCACCCCCCAGCCCTCCTCCCCTCACCCAGCTCACGTTCCGTGGCCCTGCTCTCGCCCTGGCCAACGCCTTCGGTGCCCCAGCCCCTCTCCTGCTCCTTTCTCTCCAGGCAAGGCCAACCTAGGTCACCTCCACTGCTCTGCCTGTCCTGCCTTCATTTGTACGGCTGGACATGGCAGGCTTTACCACCAGGTGGGCCAGTGTCAGTTGACGTTCATGACTGTTCGCATCTCAGGGCCACCAAGCGATCCTACTGTATTTTTCTAGCCTGTCTGCTGTTTGTTAATTGTCTGTCTGCCTTCACCAGGCATCAGTTCTAAGGCCCAACCTCATGTAAGCCGATGCCCCCTTCTGGGCCTCAATTTCCCCACCTGTAGAATGGGGGTGGGGTGGGGGTGAGGGAGACCAGCGCTTCCTGATCAAGGGATTTTACAGATTTGTGGAGACAACTTGCTTAAAATGCTGTTCCTGGGCCTTACCTCCCCCATCCCCCGCCAGAGCCTCGTGGTCAGTAGGTGTGGGGCTGGGAATCTGCACTTTTATAGTCCAAGTCTGGGACGTTTGAGTACTTGGTGATGCCTTGTCACCACCCCAAGTTTCATATATGCACACACGTATGTCTCAACGCAAGAACATCTGCGCAAAGTTACACACGCAGACATAGCCATTTAGACTTGCTGCCGGTCCCCCATGCACCCCTGCCTCCCTGGCAGGCTGCGTGCCCTCTGACGGGCTCTCTGCCTGTGCAACGACGCGGCTGGCCTGGCGCCATGTGCACACACAGACGTCTTCACACACCAATGCACAGTGGCAGACACGCGTGCAATGCCACACACAGAAACACAGAGGGACATGGGATGACACACATCCTCAGAGACGGACCCCCAGGGACACACAACTGTACGGACGCACAGAGATGGTCACCTGTAGACAGAGTCACAGGTGCACCCAAAGATGCGAAGATGCGCACATGAAAACAGACAGATGGATACACACAGGCATATGCAGATACTCATCCCCAAGACAAACAGATGCGTGCGTGCACGCACACACACACACACACACACACACAAACACGGGCACATACACTTCTCCTCTCCCCATTTTCCTGGCCCAGCTCCATGAGAAGCTCTTGGAAAAGAAAAACAATGTGAGGGCCTGAGGGGGAGGGGAGGAGGCAGGAAATCCCAGTGCCAGCCCGGCAGCAGCGGCCCCACAGCTCTGACGGTTCTGGGGCATGGTGGGGAGGGCCCTTTGGGCAGCCCCTGAACTGAGATGGTGGCAGGGACAGGGCCACTGCCATATCCTCGTGGCCTTTGGCTGCTGCCAGGCATGGCATGGGGCTCAGGGCTCGGGGCTCAGCAGCGAGGGGGCGGGCTCTTTCCAGGAATCTCAAGCCTGTCGCCCAAGGTGCCACCCAGGCCCCTAATGGCTTCCAGGCTCCCACACTAAAGGCAGGGGTGGGCTCCAGACTGAGCTCCTGATGCCCTTCCCAGCAGCTTGGCTCCGTCCCTCCTGAGGGCTGGGCGGGGAACGAAGGGGAGCGCCGAGGAAGGAGGGGCTCTGAACAGCCCTCCTGCAAGCCCAGAGTCCCCAGGAGGCTGTGTGTGCACATGTGCGGGCAGGGGTTGGGGTCCCAAGGTTGGCTTTCTGGAGAAGCCCACCCCCCAGCACCCCAGGAACCCTGCATCCCACGTAGATTCCAGGGCAGGCAGATCCTGCCTGGCAACGCCTCCTCCCACCCTCAGTCCCATCGCACTCACATAACACAGCCTTGGGGACACACACACACACACACACACACAGCCCTAGTAACAGACACTCACTGTGCTCACCAAGTCATGCACCGCAGAGGTTCAGCTCACAGTTACAGAGACAGGCTCTGGGTGCCCTGCCCTGCCTGCCCCCTCTCCACCAGGCTCAGTGCCTTCTTCCCACAGGGCGTGTGGTTTGTGTGTGTGTGTGTGTGGCCTCCTGATTCCCTTAGGGTGCCACCCCCCCCCCCCCCCGCAAAGAGCAGGTCAGGGAGGGACCAGCCACCACAGGCCCCGGAGAGCCTTCCCTACCCCACCCTCCCTCCCCCTGCCTCCCAACAGCCAGACGGGTCTATTCCTGCTGTAATCCTCAGGGTTTCTGCTCAGGCTGTTCCCCAGCTCAGAATGCTCCCCCCCAGACTCTGAAACCTCCACCCAGCCCTCAAGCCCAGTTCTACCACCTCCAGGAAATGCCTCCATGGCCTCAGCTCCATCTCCTCCCCAGAGAGCACAGCCCTACAAACCATCGCAGCCAGATTTGGCCAGCCGCCCTCTCTTCTTACAGCACAGGCTTCCCCGACCCAAACAGGACACTTGTGCCACCCACAGCTTCGAGGACAGACCTCGAATACGGGATTTGCTTAAAGTCAGCTGGTGGGGTGGAGAGCAGAAGGCTAAACCGTGACCTTGCAACCCGTCAGTGGGGCAGTCCCCCTTAGTGGGACTCCGAGCTCCTGAACCCCAGCCCCGCAGCCATCCTCACTGCCGCAGGCAGCTGTGGCCTCACTTGAGGACGGAAACTAGAATGTTTGGATCCAGTACTTGCCTCAGGCTAGGCCCTCATCCACTCTGTCCGCATAAAGTGACCAGTGGTTGCTGCCCCTTGTGGAACTGTCTAGAAGGTCGCTCCCTCTTTTCTCCATCAGCAAACTCCTACACATACTTCAAGACCCATCTCTAGTTTCTCCTCCTCTGGAAAGCCTTCTCGGATCTCATACAGAGTATATGAGTGTTTCCCAAGTACTGGCACCCCCCCGCCCACATTCTTTGCCAATGGTCATAAGAAAATCTTGATCTGTCTGGCTGTCAGCACTGGGCCCAGCATACAGCAGATGATGTGTTAATACTTTCTAGGTTGATGGACGGAAAATCAAGCTAGGGGTCTCCTTATAAAGACAGAGAGTTGAGCTGTCCTAAGGATAAAGAGTCATTTTGTGGCCAGGCTCCAAGACAAGCAGTTGTGTGAGCGTGTCTGTGGCCAAGGTCAAAGTGAGAGGTCATCTCGTGGCCAGGTTAGGGATTGGGCCTCTTACCTGAGGAACCCGAAGTGGCCCAGAGGGGGACAACTTTGTGTTTTGTCTTTAGCACGTTTAGATGACTCTCAGTATCCAGCAAGAGAAGGGAGCCATGCTGAAGCCTGGATGGGGGCCAGCTGAGGGGGCTGGGGGTTACGCGGTGGCCCAACTCTTCCCTCAAGCTCAGAAGCCCCCCATGTCCTTCCAGAACCTTTCAGGTGGTGCTCTGGAGCTGCCCATGGCCATAGGCCTGGCTGTGGGCAGGGAGCAGAGCCCAGCAGGAAACCGCAGAGGACAGGCTGATTGGATAAGTGTAGGGTCCAAGCCTGGCCAGCCCACAAACTGCGGGCACCTGTCCCTCGGACCTGCTGCCTGGAGTCCAGCCACTAGATCGCCAGGAGAGGAGGGAGGGGGGTAAGCAGGGCCTGCCAGCTAGACCTGAGCCCCTGGGGAGCGGGCTGTCCCGGGTACCCCCATCTCAGACCGAAGAGCCACAAAGATGTCCTACGTCACTGATTAGAACTCCTTTCTTTACAATGGACCAACTGAGGTACATAAGAGCAGCTACTTGCCCACATCCACACAGAGGACCAGAGCAAAGTGGGGGTGGGGTGGGGTGGGGGGTGGGGCTGGACTGCTGGGATTGGAACCCTCCCCTCCGGGGATAAGTCAACCTAGGGGGCATGATGCCCCTGGGAACACTTTATAGGGTCCTCAGGCATCGGGCCAAGTGGCCAAGCATAGCTGGTATGGGAGAGAGTCAGCCTTTCACGGGCTGGCCGGCCTCTCAGCAACTCCTTGAACTATTCGCTTCTGGAGAGCGGACATCCCACCAGTCCGGGCTCTGCCACTGGTAGGCTGTGTGGTATCTGCAACTCTCTGCCCTGTCTGGGCCTGTTTCCTTGCCACAGGGAGAGGCACTAACAAAATTCCTAAAAGCTCTGTCCAACAAAGCGGGCAGACCTTGTGCCACCTGAACCGACCCGAGCCAACCCCCCACTCCCCCACGGGTCTGTACAACCCACACTTAAGATACAGAATCAGGAGCCCAGGGCGGTGAACGGGCGTGCCAGCTATCATCAGTTGGCACCATTAGAACGGTGGGGGTAACTGAGGACCACTCCATTCTCCTCGCACTGAGCCATCGCTCTAACTGCCCCAACTCCTTCCAGAAATTCGCTTTCTGCCCGCCCACGGCCAGGAGTCGACCCTCACTTCCTCGCCCCTTCCGCAGCAGCGCGGGTCCGGCAAAGACGCCCCGCTCCCTCTAGCGGCTGGCGGAGGGCAGAGGGGGCTCCCGGCCCCAGGCGGCGCGGTCCCGCCCACCCCGCCGCGCGGCCCCCATTAGCGGCCGCCGCGGGGTTGGGGCGGTGGCGCCGCGCTCCGATTGGCCTTTGAGCCCGTCCATCCGGCACTCGCCATGGTGACCACGTTGGGTCCCCCGGGAGAGTTCCAAATTCCGCCCCCGCCCGCCGCCCCCCTCCCGTCCGGTCCCGGCCCGCGGCATTCCGAAGGCGGCCCTGCCCTCCCCCCACTCCCGGCAGCCCCTCTACACCTGAGGCCCGGGGTCCCGAAAGGTTGGGGAGCCCCGGGAGGGGGCTAGGAAGTTCTCGGAGTTTGGGGGTTGCTGCGGACGCTGTGCCCCTCTCCTCCAGCACGCCCCCCAACTTAACCCCTTCTCTCCCGCGGAAGGTTCACGGCCTGGAGGGAGCTCCCGGGACGCAGTGGCTCGCTCCCCCAGCGCTGCCGCCCCTCGCTCACCTCTGCCGGGGACCCGCGGGCTCCGGACGTCCGACCCGCCGCGGCTGGGCGGAGCGGGCACGGGGCTTGCGGCGGCCTCCGCCGGGAGGGCCGAGGGAGGGCCGCCGAGTCTCCTCCTCCCTCCCGGGGAGGGGAGGGGAGGGAAGGGAGAGGAGACGGCCGGGCGGGGGCGGTGGGCCCCGGCCAGCTGCACCCTCACTGTGACCTGGGACCGCCAAGTTGCTGGGGTGGGGGCGCCAGCCCGAGTTGGGGGCGAGGGGCACGGGCCGGGGCGGCGGGCTCTGCTAGAGAGCGAGCGGGACCCGGACGGAGGCCCCACCTCCACTTGGGGCCGAGGGTGGGAGGACGGAAGGCAGGGTCTGGGGGCCCCGCGGGGTTCGGCTTTCCCGCCTCGGGTTTCCAGAGCGCCAACGACGCACTAGGCGCCCTGCAGCCGGAGTGGGCGCCGCGTGTGCCGGGCTCAGCACGTGGGGCGCGCTTCTCAAGGGTTCACTTTTGTTACCTGCATTCTTCCTAGTGCCACCTCTGCCACAGGGTGGCCGTGGAGCAGCAAGTCTCCGCCCCTCACCGGGCCTCGGTTTCCCCTTTGTACCACTCAAGGTACAAAGGGACTCATCAGAGCAACCTCGGGCGTGTTGAGAAGCGCGGCGGGGCACTTGGGCCGCGGTGGGGGCAGGGGGAGTTTTTTCTCCCAGGTGCTGGGGTGCGTCCTGCAGGGGACGGAAGCAGGCAGTTGTCCCCAGGCAATTACGGTAAGGCGCTGTTTCCTGCGCCCAGTGGCTGTGGGGTTTCTGCAGCTCTTGGGTGGCTGTGGTTTGCCTGCGAGAGGGGGGACAGGGACGGGCGCCGGGAGGGCTTATCACATCCTGTATCTTGAGGGCGACTGCGGTGAATCTTTTTCTTCCCTTCTTCTCCTTCTTCTTCTCCTTCTCCTCCTTCTCCGCTTTAGGCCACCTGTGAAGCTTGAATGCATGACCCTAAGATCGAGTTGCATACTCCCTCTGACTGAGCCAGCCAGCAGCCCCAGCCGGGAATCCTTCGGAAAAGGCCACCAAAACCTCCCCGAGTGGAGGGAACAAGTTTCAACCTCGAAAAGGAAACTAAAAGTGATGAAAAAAAAATTAGCTTTAACTCACTAACATTATTTAGATTATGATTGCAGCCATGCAGACATTAGAGGGAAGAGTCGGCCCTTTACAGAAAGAGGGTCATTTTTGCAAAGATATTTGAGAGTTTCACATGCAAGCGTTGCTCCGAATCCTCTGGTAGTCTAACAGTTCTCTCTGGAAGGAATCACTCATTTTTAAGCGATGTTCTCTTCCTCTGTGGTCAGCTCTGGTTTCATTTGTCACTTTAACCAACTTCATGAAGCCCTGCACTTTTTGCAAGATTTGCAGTTTTACTTATCCGTCCATTTGCATGATTAAGTGCTGATGTCTGATGGAGACAGATTTTGAGGGAGGGGATGTTGGAGAGGGATCTAGTCTAAATGTTGCAAGGCTGGCCTTTGCTTTCCGGTGCGCCTGGGCCTGTGAGAGTCCGCTGTTGAGTACTCAGAGGACAGAGATTCCCCCCACCTTTAAAAAAAGGTTTATTTATTTGTTATTTGAGAGAGAGAGAGAGAGAGAGGCACCCGAGGAGGAGATGTGCAGAGAGAGAAAGGGAGACACAGAATTCAAAGCAGGCTCCAGGCTCTGAGCTGTCAGCACGAGCCCGACACGGGACTCAAACCCATGAACCGTTGAGATCATGACCTGAGCCATGTTGCTGCTTAATCGAGTCACCTAAGCACCGGAAGCCTGCCCCTTTTAAAGTTGAGGGAATACTCCGGCGGGAGGGGGGATTTTGGCTTAGACTTACCCGAAGTCCTACAGCTGGTAAGGACTGCAGTGGGCCAAGAACACCCTGGTTCTTTCCCAGGGTTTCTGGAGGTGGTAGTAGGGATAGAGGGATAAAGAAGGCTGAGGAGGCGGAGTCAGCGGTGAACCTGAGCTCCACTGAGAACATCACAGTTGGGCCCTCTCTCTGAAGAAAGTAGTCCTTGGAGTGTCTTGCAGGGGGTGGGGAGACCCCACCGTCATGGAACCGAGGTGGGGACTGACTATAGGCGTGGCAGTTCACGTGAATTCTCTCAGTTATAAGCCTTCCGGTGAGGTGGGTGTGGTTATCAGCAACTCACAGGAAAGTAAGAATCAGAAGTCAAGTGACAGGCCCAGGGTCACAAAGCCAGGTCTCAGAGCCCAGATCTCTTTCCATCTTACCACTGTCCCCCGTGTTCCTGAAACCACGTGCCCAGACTGCCCTCCGAGTGCAGTCTGATCTGGCGCCAGGCTCCTGGTGGCCCCACCAAAGGGGTTCCTTCCCCGACTGAGCCTTCGATTGAGGCTTATATTGGTATTTCCCACATTCCAGCATTTCCATCTTGTACCTCTGCCCCCACTTTATGCCATCAACACATAGCACTGTCCCTTTAGATAATTTCATTTTTTTAGGATGTATGCGTATTTTAGGGTAAGTAGGAAATCTGTATCCGTTGCCGTAAATAGAAAAAAATCATAAAAATATATGACACGTAAACAAATAATGCCACCAAAATCTAGCTAGATACTTACTCTTTGTTAAATAGGGGCATGACTGCACGCCCGTGTCCAGAGAGGCATTTTTCACAATAGCCAAAAGGTAGAGCCCACAGAGGTGTCTGTCCGTGAACAAATAGATAGATGAAATCAGTCTCTACATTCAAAGAAAAGTTATTCAGCCTTAACAAGGAAGGAAATTCTGATACATGCTACAGCATGGGTTGACTGTAAAGTCATTATGTTAAGGAAAACGAGCCAGTCACAAAAGGACAAATATGGTGTGATTCCACTTCTAGAAGGTTCCTAGAGTGGTCAAATTCAGAGTAGATTGGTGCTTAGCAGGGGGGCTGCAAGGAGGGGGGTATGGAAAGTTGCTACTTAATGGGGACAGGGTTTCAGTTTGGAAAGGTGGAAAAGTTCTGGAGACGGATGGTGGTGAGGACTGCATGGCATTGTGAACGTACTTAATGCCACTGAACTGTCCACTTAAAAAATGGTTAAAATGGTAAATTTTCTGTATATTTTGCCACAATTAAAAATCATTAAAAATCAGATATCTAGTGTTCTGCGTCCAATAAAAGATTGAGGCACAAGGCAGTGGTAGAGAGGAGTTAGAGAAAATTTAGCTCTAAATGGAGGTGTCTCTCGGATGCAGCCAGGAATGAAAAACCATGACCAGTGAGCGACTTTTTCATGGTGTGACTCAGTTTATATAATGCCCTGTCAGGGGTCTCACTTTCCGTCCTCATGCAGATCATGGGGTGAGTAGACCCCATGGGCTGAGAGGGAGACACTTCACTAGGGATGCTGTGTGGCTCTCCCAGGGTGGGAAGAGGGAGGTGGCTTGCCGCCCTCCTGCCTGCCTGGGGGGCTGAGCAAGGGACTGGCGTGTCTCCTAAAGCTGAAGCATCCGGAATGTTTTATAGGGAAGTTGGAGGCAGGGCAGCCTTCTCGGGGAAGCAGGACTCAGGGGAGCTGCCCCTGAGCGCCCGAGGGATGGAGAAGAGCTGCGGTCCTGCCCAGGACGTGTGTGTGTGTGTGTGTGTGTGTGTGTGTGTGTGTGTGTGTGTGTCACAGCCGGGACAGAGTGGGACATGGGTGTGAATGTGGCGAGCTCATCCAGAGCTGGGTGGCAGGCAGTAGAGCCTGGATGGGGCTAGACCATGAAGGCAATCGGGAGCCGCTGCAAGCTTTTGAGCTGGGGGGTATCTTGGTGGCAATTTCCAGGGTCTGGAGTGCAGGGCGAGGGAAATCCAGCACTCCGACTGAGGCGAGGCATCTCGAGGTTGGCACAGATCCCGGGGAGGGGGGGTTGGCGGGAATAGAGGAGCTTCGGGGTGAGCAGGGCCTTGTCCTGAGCCCTGAGAGCAGCGGCTTGGGCCCACAAACAGCATGAGGGGGAAAGGCTACTGGTTATAACCGCAGAGGTGGCCAGGAGACCTCAGAAAGGAAGGGCCTGAAGGTCATGGTCTGGGTCATGGCCGCAGAAAACCAAAGTGCAGAGAAAGGCAAGAACTTTCCCAAGTCGTCTGGCAAGAGTGTGGCCGAGGGGTCAGGACACGAGTGCGCAGGAGTCTCTGCGAAGCCTTCGCCCTGCAGCTGCTCGGGGTGGGGGGCTGGATACGTGGGCCTGTGTGCCCCTCAGATCTCGCTGCCCTCCAAGGAGCAGCCTCTCCCCTTCCCAGAGAGGCCTGAGCTACCTGTGGCTGGTGCTTGGGTTGATGCTGGAAGGGCCACGGGGTAGGAGGGGAGAGGGGAGAGGGGAGAGACCGTGTTGGGACCTGCCTTTCTCCTCCGTGCTGCAGCCCATTCTCACCCCTGGGGAGAAAAATACTTTCCCCGGCCAGAATTTTCCCAGGAAGTCTGGCTGGGCAAGAGAGAGCACCCAACCACCAAGCCACACGGATACTTCCCCTTCCCCATAGGATCCGGCACAAGAAGTGGCTGGAGTATGACTGGCTGACCAGCCTTCCAGCCCCAAGTCTGGCCACACTTTCTGAGCGCTGTTCCCAGGAAGACCCTTCTCCAGAGGGCTCTGCGCTGGGTAGTTCTGGGCCAGGCTCTTGTCCTCTCCAGACCTCAGTCCCCCCATCTGTGAAATAGGCGAGCTACACGGAACGCTTCTGATGACTTTGCAGCATTTCCTTTTATAAGCCCCACGCTACTCCGTGATGTGGTACTCTCTTTCTCTCTTTTTCTTTTTAAAGTTTATTTATTTTTGAGAGAGAGAGAGAGAAAAAGTGGAGGAGGGGCAGAGAGACAGGGAGAGAGAGAATCCCCAGAAGGCTCTGCGCTGTAAGCACAGGGCCCTACTCGGGTCTTGATCTCATGAGCCAGGACATCACGATCTGAGCTGAAACCAAGAGCTGAGTTGGATGTTTAACCAACTGAGCCACCCAGGCACCCGGAAGTGGTACTGTCTTATCTCCACTTTACAGAGGGGAAGCTCGGGTTCAGAGAGTTTCAGCCACTTGCCCAGAGTCCCCCAGCCAGTAAACGGCAGGCCTGGTATTTGAACCCAAGCACTCTGACCCAACCCTTGCCTGAGGTCCTGGCCATCATCGTTCTCGCTGATTGTCAGGTCAGGCAGGGATCATTCTTCCTTTTCTGTGGAGGGGGAAACTGAGGCTGAAGAGGTGCAGAGCAGAGGTAGGTCTTGAAACCTTTCGAGATGCCACAGAGGCCAGCCCTCCTCCCTCCCCCACTGACACCAGACACCTCCCCGAGGTACAGGCATCCCCAGGAAGTGCTGCAGGAGTTGGCGGGGGGGGGGGGGGGGTGAAAGCAAGAAGTATTTGGAGTGCAGCTACCAGAGGAAGCGAGAGGCTGCAGTGAAAGAAGAAGTGAAGTGAGAGTGTGGTGCTCCGTGCAGGGTGTGGGGCAAGGAGAGCAGAGAAGCAAAGGACTGAGGACCTGTGTTGAGCACTGAGCAGAGCGGAGAGGAGGTGGCCGGGGGCCCACACGGATGTCCAAGTTCCCTTTCTGTCTGTGGACGCGCCGGGAGCCCGTGACAGCAGGACAGCGGCAGCAGCGTCACAGGTCAGCCCCCGGCCAGCCTCTCTATTCCCCCGTCCCTCAGCAAGCTGGGGGACACGCCTCATTCCCTTTACTCTCTGGTGGCAACTCCAGATCCCTGGGAATGTAGAAATCTATATTTTTTAAAAAAAGAACAATTTAATTTTTTAAATGTTTATTTATTGTTGAGAGAGAGAGAGAGAGAGACAGAGACAGGGTGTGAGCAGGAGACGGGCAGAGAGAGAGGAAGACACAGAATGTGAAACAGGCTCCAGCTCTGAGCTGTCAGCACAGAGCCTGACACGGGGCTCGAACACATGAACCGTGAGATCATGACCTGAGCCGAAGTCGGACGCTCAACCAACTGAGCCACGCAGGTGCCCCTGAAAAAGAGCACTTTAAATGAAGGAGTGGTTAGGCACTGGGTTCAAATCTTAGCTCCCCACCACAGCCTAGGACAAGTATTTAGACTCTCCTGGATTTCAGTTTTCTCATCTGTCCATTGGGGTTAATCTGGTAGCTTGCACCTTAGATGACATTGGAAGGGCCCGGACGGAGTTTGTACCGGGCAAATGGGAGCTGATGCTATTCCTTTCAGAGTGACCTGGACTGGAGCCCGGGGGACTATATGTCTCAGGGAAATGGCTCTGGTGATGCCTTAATCCCAGACTCCTTGTTAAGCCTTGGCATGCCCTCTCTCCCCACCTGTAAAATGGGGCTAATAATAGTATTTGTCAGGATTTTCCTGCAGAGACCATAGGTTCAGTCCTCAGCCAGGCCAGCCGTGGGGCTCCAGGAGCACGGCTGGCTCAGCAGGCCTGGTGCTGTGGGGGAGGGGCAGCCTGCAGGGGGACGCGTGGCCGGCCCCAGGGAGGAGCACAGGGGTTCACAAGGCATATGCTCAGATGTGTCCCCGGCTGGGGCTTCGGGTCAGAGCCCTAAACTCGCAGTGGGATCATGGAAATGTCTGTGTGCCTCTCCCCGGGGAACAGGTGTCCCTGGCTTCAGTTTACCCATGGGAAGCCCCCAGGCACAGAGAAACAGAGTTATTGCCCGACATCCCAGCCCAGACACTGAATACTGGAACTAGTTATCAGGTTTGCATCTTCTAGAGGCCCTAGTCTGCACACTGTTGTTTCCTCATCTCTCTGTTGATCTAGATAGAGTCTTACTCATCCGTTGGGCAACCCAGCCATTTTTGGGAGCCTGTCGTGTGCAGCGTGGGGAGAAAGCACTGGACTTGGAGTCTGGGGCCCTGGGCTTGAGTCCGCGCTTGATTGCTGGGCTGCCGTCACCCCCAAGCAAGCTCCTGCGTGGTTTCCAGTTTCCTCACGATCAAGCGGAACCGTCTTGGACCTCAGGTAAAGGGTTTCTGTCTCCTAGGAAGCATCAGATAACGAATTGGGGGCGGTGGTGAGATGGGCGAGGCTGTGGGGTAATGATGCATGGCAGCTTCTCTGAAGGGGAGGGGAGAGGGATGCTGGAAGTCCCAAGTAGGGGTGAGGATTGTGGTTTGCCCCTGGGAAAGGGAGTGGAAACCACAGCTATTTGAGGGGCCCGGAGGAGGTGTTACTTCTGCTTTGACCTTGATTTCTCCAGCTGGTGGTGGGGTGGGACACAGAGCAGGGTGGCCAAGGGCCTGGGGATCTGGCCTTACAGTCCAGACCCTCGAGTTTAAATCCACACCATTGTCTGGGCCCCCATTCACACAGCAAGGGGTAGACAAGATGTCCCAAGCTCCTGTCTGCGCTGTCGTGTTCTCAGACTTCTACTCTGAAAAGTTTCAAATTGTTTCACTCCGCGGCTTCCTTTGTCTCCTCAAACGTTTTCCCTCCTCTCTTCTCTGAGGTTCAAAGAGGGCAAGTCAATTGCCCAGGGTAACACAGCCTAATAAATAACCAAGTGGCTAAATGAATAAGAGCCCAGCACTCTGTGACTCCGAAGTCTCTTTTCTCTTTTTCAAATCAACACATATATTAATAGTGTTAAAACAAATGTATGACTACCCAGGGGCGCCCGTGTGGCTCAGTCGGTTAAGTGTCCGACTTCGGCTCAGGTCACAATCTCGCAGTTCGTGGGTTTGAGCCCCGCATGGGGCTCTGTGCTGACAGCTCAGAGCCTGGAGCCTGCTACAGATTCTGTGTCTCTCTCTCTCTCTGCCCCTTCCCTGCTCATTTTCTGTCTCTGTCTCAAAAAGAAATAAACATAAAAATTTTTTTTAATAAAAAAAAAAAGTATGACCACCCAGAAAAAAACATCACATCACCATCTCATATTGTAGTCCAGGATCGATGCAAAGGGACTGGAGGTTCCAATGTGAAAAATGCAAACTTAAAAAGACTAGGAGAAACTTAGAATTCCTTTGTAATGTTGGAGTGAGGAACGCCTTTCTAGCTACAGCTCAAAATCCAGAAGACATAAGAGAACATGCTGCTAATTCTGATTCCATAAAAGTTATACATATAAAAAAAGACTTCTACTTGGCAGAAGGACCATGTTAAAAGGTAAAAAGGTTAAAAGGCAAATGACAAACTAGGAAATATATTTGTAACTCATATAATAGACAATGAGGTAATTTTCCTATTATGTAAAGAGTTTCAAGATGATAAGAGTCGAACGCGACATAAAAATGGGCAGATGGTGGGGCGCATGGGGGTCTCAGCCGGTTGGGTGTCTGACTTCAGCTCAGGTCATGATCTCGCCGTCTGTGAGTTCGAGCCTCGCGTCGGACTCTGTGCTGACAGCCTGGAGCCTATTTTGGATTCTGTGTCTCCCTCTCTATCTCCCCCTCCCCCAACTCACTCTGTCTCTCTCTGTCTGTCTCTCTTTCAAGTAGAAATAAACATTTTAAATAAGGGCAGATGGTGAACTTGCACATGTGGGAAATGACGTCAGAACAGCTGCACTTTGGGAAGAACCAAAGACGAATCAACACAACTAGCTGTTCTCAGGGCACCCACTGGAGAAGTTAGGCTTTATTCCTCCAATCTTAGACTACGCGCTTGTAATAGAAAAAAGTGGAAGCTCTAGGAACTGCTATGGAAAGCTCTCCAAGATGTATTTTCAACAGAAAAAAGCAGAGTGCAGAACAGTAGAAAGTGTGCTTTTTAAAAATAAAATGAGGAGAATCATATATGCGTATCTTTTTTTTTTAAAGTTCATTTACTTCTTATGAGAGAGAGCTGAGGAGGGACAGAGAGGGAGGGAGAGAGATGGAATCCCAAGTGGGTCCCATGCCGTCAGCACAGAGCCTGACACGGGCCTCGATCTTATGAACCGTGAGATCATGACCTGGGCCGAAACCAAGAGATGAACACTTAACCGACTGAGCCCCCCAGGCGGCCCCGTATGTGCTTATCTATATATGAAACTCGGGAAAATCCACAAAATGCTAATAACAGTAGTTACCTGGGGACGACTAACAAGGAACTGAGTGGTGGGGTGACACAGGAGACAGGGGTACTTTGATTTTGTGTTTGTGTCCTTATTTATTGTTTATATTCAAACTACATAAATTTCCAAACTATCCAAAAAGCAGATAAAAATCGAGAAATGTATAACTGTAACGGATAGGGTAACTTTAGGAAATACAGGCAATCAAAATGAGTAGGTCCAGGACCTCACCACCCAGAAGTGACCCCTGCATCTTCCTGATTTTGCATACATAAAAATGTGACTTTTACAAGGGTGGATTACATTGATTTGCAATATAGTTTTTGTTTTTCATAAGCAATATATCACCATTATTTTTTCCATAATGCTAGTCATTTGGAGCATTAAAAAAAATTCTCAGCATTAACAACTTGCTTTTCTGTTGTGAAGGTAATACGTGTTCGTTGCAGAAAATTTGAACTATACGGAAAACATAAAAAAGAGAGTAATTCTCCTCCTCACAACATGATTTTTTGGTGACATTCTAGATACCCTCCGAGGCTTCAGCATGTATATTTGCATACATTTCCATACATGTGATTCTATTGTGGGTGTTATGTTCAGCTTGCTCTTTCCACGTGTAATAATATACTGTGTTCCTCTCCTGTGTCACTCTCTACATCATAATTTTTGATGGTGGAATGACGACCCATTGTACTGTATTTTTTAACTGCTTTTGAAAAACTGATAAATTCACAGGAAGTTGCAAAAAAAATTGTACAGAAAGATTTTATGTACACTTCACACAATCTGTCTAGTCTCCTCGTTTTGTTTGTGGAGGCCTCCCTTCTGGAACCTTTTTTTCTTCTGCTACCTTCTGGACAGGATATACCCAGTCCTGCTGTCCAACCTACTACTGGGGGAATAGCTTCGTCTCTCCTCCGGGGGGATTTCCTGTGTCCTATGTTGTCTTTCACGACTTCCCCCCTCATTCTGTTGGAGCGCACCCTCGAGCAGCTTTCTGAAAGGTGGTGCATGTTTTAAAACACCTCGCGATCCTCGGTTGACCATTCGTCTTCAAGAGTGCAGCACTAAAGCTTCACGGCTGGTCAGGGCTGATGACAGGGAAAAGCTTCAACCTGAGTTTGGTCCTGGCCATTTCACTGAGGAACACCAAAACCTCAGTAGCTATAGGATACTTTTCTTGGAATGGCCAGTCCTTCAGAGAAGAAGTTTCCCCTGGCTTCGAGCATTGTCGCCTGGCCGCCGCAGGCTTCTGGAAGCTGAGTGGAGGAAGTGGGGGGCAAGGAATACGGCTCAATTTTTCTATACCTGAATGGCGCCCCATCCTTGCCCTCAGGTCCTCTAGCATGCACTGCCTCCAGGAAATGACCTTGATGTTGGGATGGTGTTTAGGGTGGAAGGGTGGTGACAACAGCCTGGGGCACCCCAGGAGCAGATCTGGGGTCCCAGCTGGTCATTTAAAAGAGTCACCATCGGGGCGCCTGGGTGGCTTAGTCGGTTGAGCGTCCGACTTTCGCTTGGGTCATGATCTCGCGGTTGGTGGGTTCGAGCCCCGCGTCGGGCTCTGTGCTGACTGCCAGCTCAGAGCCTGGAGCCTGTTTCAGTCTGTGACTCCCTCTCTCTCTGACCCTCCCCTGCTCACGCTGTCTCTCTCTCTCTCTCTCTCCTAGAAATAAATAAAAATATTAAAAAAAAAAAAAAAAAAAAAAGAAAAGAGTCACCATCACCAATCTCCCATTTTTTGGCTTCACTCTTCTTTTAGAGGTTCTCGATGCCTCTGGTTCTCAAGTGCTCCCAGGGCTCTGAGCCTTCTCCCTGTCCCCTCCCCTTCTCCCCTCCTTCACTCCACACCTCTCCCCCCTGCAGGCACTGGGGCTCAACTCTCTACCCACCTGCTGGGAGCCTCCAAAGCTTTGCTAACATTTCTCACCTGCTGTTTTCTTCTTTCCTCTAGTTCTGTCTTTGTGGCTTTGTGCCCATTTATCCACTCACTCTCATTTGAGTGGAATTTCAGGGAGTTGACGTAGATTTGCTATATTTAAGCAGACGTTTATTAGTTTATTTTAAAACTACAGAAAATGAAGGCTGGGAGGGACGGACCCTTGCTCAAAGTCGCATGGTGAATTAATGACACAGCTGGACAAGGTTACATGTTGCTTGCTCCCAAGTAGCTTCCCCCTGGGTGAAGTCAGAGCCCCAGGAGAAGCCCCCAGACAGACCACTTTTTTGGGAGGGGGAGTGACTCAGGCAGACCTGGTAATGGCGGGCATTTCTGCACAAATGATCCGGAATTCTGGACTCCCAGAGACCTGGGTCAGGGAGCCTCAAGCAGAACAGGACCACTTGCTCTCTGAGCCTCAGTTTCCTCATCTGTGAAATGCAGGAGTAATGAGGATCAATTAAAATGCTAGACGTCCTGGGGCACCTGGGTGGCTCAGTCGATTAAGCATCAGACTTCGGCTTGGGTCATGATCTCATGGTTCTCAAGTTCAAGCCCCACATCGGGCTCTCCGCTGTCAGCACTGAGCCTGCTTTGGATCCTCTGTTCCCCTCTCTCTGCCCCTCCTCTGCTTGTGCTCTTTCACTCTCTCTCTCTCAAAAACAAATAAACATTAAAACATATAAAATGCTAGATGTCCTACCTTTGGGACATGCCGGACACCTAGAGGTTAGAGCTCACTCTTTTACCATGATGACAACGGCATGCATCTTTTCCAGGCTGGAGGCTAGGATTTGGAAGAGACTGGGAACAGGATATGGACGGCTGGAGGGCCTTCTTCCTCTGCCTGTGCCTCAGTACTGCTCATAGTGAGACAGTGGGTAAGGGGGTGCTGCTGACCTGGGGGCGATCCGAGCCCGGGCCCCCGGCTGGGATATGAAGGGGGATGCCTCAAACCAAGGGAGCTTGAAAGAGGTCTTCTGGGGCAGCAGCAAGGCTGAGGCTGTGTTAGAAGGGCCCAGAGGCCGTGGGGACAGAGGCTGACGTGGTGACCTGCTTCCCACAGGGGCCTCCCAAGAGCCCCTGCACTGGATGGAGAAGCTGGAGACCATGACCAAAGGATACAATGTGACTTCGCTTGCTGGGTGAGTTGGCCAGCCATCCATGCCCTCCTTGAGTCAGCTATGCCTCCCACCCCCAGCTTGCGCCTTGAACCAGTGGTCCAGGGTTGTCCAGTGTAGACCATTAATCCATTGATTCAACATGCAGTTATTGAGTACCTCCTGTGGGCCCAGCACTAGGCTTGGAGATGCAGGTTAAATACGTCCCTGCCCTCATCAAGTCTGCTGTCTGGTTTAGGGCCTTTAACTATGGATGCCATGAAATCAGGGGCAGACTCGTGGGTCTGCATTTTCCAGGGAAGGAGCCGCAAGGCTGGACTGGGCTCTTGAATGGCCTTGCAGCTCTGGGTGAGGGGATGGTGCTGATGACTGGCCAGGGAGGCACAGGGACTATGTGGCATTTCACTCAGTCAGCGGAAAACAGCCAGAACAGTCATCCCGAAGGAGGTGTCCGTAGAACCGGAACTGAACAAGAGGTAATCAGGAAAGTGGATGAGTGGGGTGGAGAGGTGAGAGTGTGCCAGGGACACTGCGTGTGCAAAGGTCCGGAGGTGGGAGTAGCAGGTTGGGTTGGGGGAGGCCCTGCCCTTATCGGCCATCTGGGGCCTCTCTCACCCCCACGCTCACTCCAATCCCTGGCCAACTCTCTCCTGCTCAGGTTCATCCGGAGCCTGGAGCACAGCCTGCTGAACACCAGCTTCGGGGGCAAGAACCTCACCTTGCAGACACACAGCATCCAGACGCTGGCCTTCAAGCTGGGCTGTGACTTCACCGGCCTCACACTGAACAGTGCGGCTCTGGAGCCCGTCCCCCAGGTCAGAGGGGGCCAGGAGATGGAGGGCAGCCGGGGCCTCTACCCCAGAACCCCTCCAGGGGCTTCAGGTCTGGACTCCCCCCTCTCCCCCACTAATCTGGCCTGCCCTAACAGCTGTGAGTTGCCTCTTCTGTAAACTGGGGCTGATGCTCCTCATGTGAATGAGTGGAATGGTGGAAGGAGAGGGGGCTCTGTGGCCCCTCAAGGGCAATGCCCTTTTCCTGCTTTGGCAGGTCCCTGAGGGGAGGCAGCAGTGGGAGAGGCCAGAAGTCCAGGTTCCTCAGAAGACTCTGGTGTGATTCCCGCTAAACCTCCGGGGGCTGAGGGCTGAGGAGCTCCATCCCCAGGGGCCCCAGTTGGGTGGGGTAATTGGAGGCAGGGGCAGCCTAGAGGCAGGGCCTGGGGGTCTCAGGAAGCTCAGAGGAGGTACAGCCTGGCGGGAGAGGGCTCTGCAGGTGGAGGCGCCTAGGAATGAGATGCCCCTGGGCAAGGACAGGATGGGAAGGCTTCCAGAGGGGTGGGGATGTCGAGACAGGACGGCTGTGGCTTAGCCTGTGCATGGCTCCGTAGGCCCAGGTTCCGCACGCCATGCAGTTCCCGGCCGAGCTGACCCAGGATGCCTGCAGGGCCCGCCGCCACGGGGAGCTGCGCCTCATCTGCATTTACTTCTTCACAGACTACTTTTTCCAGGTCAGTGCCGGGCAGGGGGGCAGGGAGCAAGCACAGCGGGTGCCGGCTCCTCCCTGGGGGGCACTGCAGGCATCCGTGCCATTGCCTGGCATCTGCGCAGGGACCAGCCCATGGTGCAGCCTGAGTCCGCCCTTGTCCCTTCTGGGCCTCGGTTTTAGGAGAATGGTGTTGGGGGACGCGGTTACAAGAAATCTACTCTGTATATGTCTGTCCCTAGACAGATATGGAGCCATTGTAACAAAGGTGCTTTTTAACTTGGGCTTTGAAAGTGAGTTAGGATAGTAGTTAGTTAGGATGGAGGCTGGGACGCACCCAACAGGTGGTAGAGAGGTGGGGGGTGGGTGGGTGCTGAAGGGACAGTTTTCCAGGTGCAGGGGACAGCGTACGCAAGGGCTGGGAGGCTGGCCCACCTGTGAAGGCACACTGCTTATTCTCACCTGAGGGAAGGGGCCGGTGGGGGAGGGGAGCTCTCGGACCTCAGCTGGGATCTCCTCGCATCCACCCTCTCCAGCCAGCCCTTCTGCTGTCCTTCCAGAATAACAACTCATCTCTGCTCAATAACTATGTCCTGGGGGCCCAGCTGGGTCAAAGACATGTGAAGAACCTCAGGGAGCCGGTCAACATCAGCTTCTGGCACAACCGAAGCCTGGTACTGTTGGGGGTGCCCCTGTTTCCACCTCATCCCTGCCCCTTTGTGGCTCTCCTGTTGAACTCTGGCTCAACTAAACCCAAACCCCGTGGAAGTGTTTTGAAAACAAACTGTTTCTAATTGATCACAGTTTGAAAATTCCCATCAAAGGAATCAAAGAGAGAAGTTACTCAATTTTTTTACTTACCACATTAGGCGGCATTCTTTGAGTTGCAAGTGATACAAAGCCAAGTCCAGCCAGCTTGGGATTGGCTCATGCAAATGAAATGTCCAGGGCTGGCTAGCTTCAGGCATGGCTGGATCCAGGGGCTGATGCAATGCCATCTTGGCTCGGCCTCTTTCCATCCCTCAGCAATGGTTTCCTGCCTTGGATCTACTCTGGTAAGATGGCAGCTGAAGTGTTGGACTTTCATCCCCTCTTCCCAGCAGGCTCTTCCTCATCAGTGCCAACCAGGGTCCCAGCATGGAGTCCTTAGAGTCCAGCTGGGTCATGTGTCCATCCCTGCACCATCACTGTGCACGGTGGACAGAACGTGTGGGTTGGCCAGGCCTGGGTCACATGGCTTGAGGACTGGGCTGGATTCACCTGATCTGCCATGGGGGGAGGCGTGGGTCTTCGAGGGAAGCGCAGAAGCTGATCCTGGAGGAAGGGAGAAGGGCTGCTGGGTGAGCACAGGCCCTGGTGTCTCTGCTCTTCTGGCCCTGGCATTCCTGAAAAGCCCAGACACACTACGTTCTGCCCCGACTTTCCACCAGCTTCATTAGGACTGCTCTGCGCTCTCAGTTTCTCCATCATCCTTCCCTTACTTTCCTCTGAACCTTAGCCCCTGCAGTTCCCTTTACCTGGACTGCCCTCGCTGCTCTTCCGCTGAGATCCGATGTGTCCTCAAAGACCTCGGGGCCCAATCGTCCCTTTCCTCCTCGGGACTCCCCTACCCCTTCCTCAGTGGCACTTCCTGTGTCTTTCCCCCACCCCTCCACCCCCATGGTCAGCATCAGGGTTGTCTGTGAATGAGTCTCTCCCGCCCTGGGCATGTACCTGCATATACCATGTTCCCCATGGAGAGGAGGGGAAAGGGATGGTTGATTCTAGAGCACCTGCTGTCCAGCCAGAGCTGGTCCCTCAAGATTCCTCATTGCCTGTAATTTAATACCCTCTTTGAGACTTGTGTATAGATGATCCCATTTTGCAGATGAATAAACTGAGGCTCAGAGAAGCTTGGCAACTGGCCCAGGTTACTCTGAGAGTCCACAGTGGAGGTGAGTCTGGAATCTGGGTTGGTCCAGCCAAAGCCCAGCCAGTGCCCTGTAAAATGTTGACAAGGGTGCAGTTGTATCAGCTTTGGCCCCCACGATATCCAGACTCTGATCCTCGGCCCTCCCCCATACCTCTTACCCCATACCCAACTCCAGCATCTCTCCTCAGGAAGGCTACACAGTGACCTGTGTCTTTTGGAAGGAAGAAGCCAGCAAGGATCACTGGGGGGTCTGGAGCCCCGAGGGCTGTCGCACAGAGCAGCCCTCACCTTCCCAGGTGCTCTGCCGCTGCAACCACCTCACCTACTTTGCTGTCCTCATGGTATGCGTGCATCCAGGCTGGGTGGTGCGAGAGTCAAAGCCGTGAAGGACCCCGTGTCTAGGCAACAGTAGCAAGGCAAAGGCAGGTGCAAGGGACAGACAATCCAACTCAAATGGGTTTAAGAAGAAAAAAAGAGAAACTTACGAACTCATGTTGCAGAAGAGGCTATGTTAGGCTTCAGGGATGGCTTGATCAAGATGTTCAATATCACCAAGACAAGGCTCTATCTCTCTCACCTGTATTTGCTTTGTACTGGCCTGGGCTTCAAACCTAACTTCCCTAGAGGATAATTATATGGCTACTAGCAGATCCAGGCTTGGTCCTACTAGCTGTTAGGCCAGCAGGCTCTACTTGGCTTTTCCCAATTCTGCCATCTAGTGTGGGGATTGAGTCCCATGAGCCTGGAGTGTGTCACATTCCCATCCCTCAACCAATCACCTGGGCAGGGGGTGGGAGGACTCTGATAAGTCAGGCTTGGTGCACCTGCCCACACACAGTGTCCACATATTTCTATATGCACAGACAGTGAGGCAGGGGAGCTTGGAGCCGAGGTCTTAGCAGGGCTCTGTGAGTGTGGGGAGGGCATTTCCCCGCTTCGGGTCCCCATCCCTCCCTCTCTTCCTACAGCAACTCTCCTCGGCCCCGGTCCCCGCCAACCTGCTGGCCCCTCTTACGTACATCTCCCTGGTGGGCTGCAGCGTCTCCATCGTGGCCTCACTTCTCACCATCCTGCTGCATTTCCAAGCCAGGTACTCCCCTGCCCCCGTGCCAGGACTGCCACCCACGGCTGCTCGGCACTCCTCGTCCACCTGATCCCCAGAGTGGGGTGGACTCCTCCAGGGGATGGAGGCCGGGAAGCAGGAGACCGGCCTTGCCGTGTGGCTGCTCTTGGATCCCTGCGCCCTCTCAACCTCGGTGCGCCCACTGCGTGGCCGTGAGCCCAGGCGGTGGTGTCCCCAGGCCACGGAAGGGCATGCTCCCACCCACAGGAAGCAGGGTGACTCCATAACGCACATCCACACGAACCTGCACGCATCCGTGCTGCTCCTGAACGTCGCCTTCCTGCTGAGCCCCGTGCTGCCTGGGCCCGGGCCGGCGTGCACCGCGCTGGGTGCCGTCCTGCACTTCGCGCTGCTCAGCTGCCTCACCTGGATGGCCATCGAAGGCTTCAACCTCTACCTGCTCCTCGTGCGCGTCTACAACATCTACATCCGCCGATACATGCTCAAGCTCTGTGTGGTGGGCTGGGGTGAGCAGAGCCTCCCTCCCCTCTTGCCTCCTGAGGGCCCAGCCAGACAGGGCGTCCACCCTCTCCTGCCCTTCTCTCTCTCCTCTCCCTCATCGTGGTGACTGCTGCCACCAGCACTGATCATCGTCCCTGTCAACGCCCACCACTGCTTTCTACACTGCTATTCTTGTCGTCTGTTCTACTTCCGCACCTCTATTCTGACCTCCAATGCGACCTCCACCTCCACACCTCCATCACCCCACCTCCACAC